GGGTTCTATTACATTGAACAGTGCAGATGAAAATGTCTTGCAGGGCTATATTAAAGCTCTTGTCCTACCAACTGATGCAAACGGTCCAATCAACCATAGGCCAGAATTTCCTGTGGCTGCTCTGGTTCTCTTACCTTTCACTGGTTTCTTTCTATTAGCTGCACTAGGTTTTCTTTGTTGGAGAAGAGGAATATTCAAAAAGAATAGGAAGCTAAAATTTGGGCACTCAGTCTCTTCACAAGACCTGGATGCATTCTGCATCCCTGGGTTACCTCAAAGGTTTGACTACGAAGAGCTAGAGGTGGCTACTGATAACTTTAAGACCCAGATAGGGTCAGGTGGGTTTGGTTCTGTCTACAAAGGTATACTGCCTGATAAATCTGTTGTGGCAGTGAAGAAGATAACAAATTTAGGTGTCCAAGGGAAAAAAGATTTCTGTACTGAGATTGCGGTCATTGGAAATATACACCATGTCAATTTGGTCAAGTTGAGAGGGTTTTGTGCCCAAGGGGGACGGAGACTATTGGTTTATGAGTATATGAACCGTGGTTCACTGGACCGTACTCTCTTTGGCAGTGGACCTGTCATAGAATGGCAAGAAAGGTTCGATATAGCACTTGGGACAGCACGTGCACTTGCATACTTGCACTGTGGCTGTGAACAAAAGATTATCCATTGTGACGTCAAACCAGAGAACATTCTCTTGCATGATCATTTTCAGCCAAAAATCTCTGATTTCGGGCTTTCAAAACTCCTAAGCCCTGAACAATCTAGCCTGTTCACGACAATGAGAGGTACTCGGGGCTATCTTGCCCCTGAATGGCTTACTAACTCAGCAATTTCAGAGAAAACTGATGTTTATAGTTTCGGGATGGTATTGCTTGAACTCGTGAGTGGTAGGAAAAACTGCCTACTGCGATCACCAAGCCATTGCATGGATGATGAGAACAGTAGTGGCTCCCAATCTTCATCATCAGGATCCAGATTTATTTATTTTCCACTATATGCATTGGAGATGCACGAGCAAGGAAGATACCTGGAGCTTGCTGACACAAAGTTGGAAGGACGAGTAATGAGTGAAGAGGTGGAGAAATTGGTGTGTATTGCTTTGTGTTGTGTTCATGAAGAACCATCATTAAGGCCAAATATGGTTACTGTTGTTGGTATGTTGGAAGGTAGGATTCCAGTAACCCGGCCAAGAATGGAGTCTTTGAATTTCTTACGCTTCTATGGCCGCAGGTTTTCTGAGGCTTCTACAATAGAAGAAGAAGAACGGGAAAGTGATGTTATGTTGTATCAGCAAGCAAATGCCTCCTGTACAAGTTCAGCAAGTGGCTCTCAACATTACTTTTCTTACATCTCCTCACAGCAGATCTCTGGCCCTAGATAGTATTGATTAATGGCTGAGATTTTTGTAGCTCTTGTGGTTTTTGGAATGGATATACAACCATAAATTGTATGTGATATAGAATTCTTGTTTGTTTATTCTCTTTGAACTAAAGTTAAATATGTAATTATCATCTTTCAAAGTCCAATGGAGTATTGTAGCAGTCATTTATCTACCTTACATATTACTATTAACTGTTCATTTGAGTCAATAACTAGGTGTACTTGTATGTAAATTGGATTTGTAGTTTGTCTCAGCAATATCAATGCTGGATTAACTTTTTCACACAGTTTTGTAATCGAACACTTTGTCTCTGGTGTGAAAAGATGCTGAAAATTTTAGTCAATATGGATTTATAGGTGTTTGCTATGATGGTTGGTCATTGTATATCCAGGGCTCCAAATCGAGATTTATTCCTCTTTCTGTATCTTCATTGTCTTGTTCTTTCTGTATATCCATTGCTATTACTTCATTGTCTTGTTCTTTCTCGAGTTAGTTGATGTTCACGACTTGTTAGATAATGCTGACTTTTCCAAAAGTAAGTTCAGAGCTATTATCTAAAATTTAGCATGTAATATCTGTTGATAGTTGGTTTTTGATGGGTATACAACTGACGACATTTGAGACAAAGTTCCTCAGCCCCGATAGTGGTCTCCATTCTGGAAGAGGAATGCATAGCATGAAAACAAAAAAATTAGTAAGGAAAGGACTTATTGGGATTTTTTTTTTCTCTCTCTTCGCTTAGGCTTCTAGGACTTTTGTTATATTGGAACTGCAATGAGGTTATGAAGGTTGATGACTCTTTTGATATGTTTGGGCAAAAATCTAATCCATACAGTGAAGAAGGTTATCCGGCTCTTTTTCAGATACCTTATTGGAATAAGTTATTCTATACCAGAGTGATTATATCCTGAAGATTATTTTTGTGCACACATATTATTTGCATACTTTCTTAATGAGTATAAGAACATTCTGTTGCTTTTTATTTCCTAGAAATTCTTATTTTTTTGTTGAGCCAAACTTTGTAGTAGCTGTTTTGGAACTGAAATCATTACAAGCTTCCAAAGTTCTGGAAGGAAGACTAAATTAAGTCTTACTGTAGTTTTTTTTTGTTTTATATTGATTTTGAAAGCTTTTGATTTTTTATTACAACTGTTTAATTTTGTTTTCTTTCTCACCCTGGCAGCTAGTCAAGAACTCTTTTCTTAGAAATGAGCCCACCTTCTCAAGAAAGATTGTTGAGATGGTGTTGGCAGTAGCACTTGAAAGGAAAGTGTCAAAACAAGGAATATTAAGCACATACCTGAGTAAGGTCTCTTTTCTTGCCTTATGCTTCTTTCATCATCCCTTATTTGTTTATTTATTTATTTTTTAATTAAAAGGAAGCCATATCCCTTAGTTTAAGGGGCACTACATATATTTGTTTCCACTACTTATGTGAATGGTTTTTTTTTTTAATTTGTTTTCTGTTTGACAAAATGCATTCTTCAAATTCATTTTTAGAAAAATATAATTTGTGGTTGTAGGAAAAATCCAACTACAATATTTCTAGCTGCATTTAGATTTCCAATTTTTGTGCTGGTTTTTCTTCTTCACTGTTCACCCTGAGTTATAAGAAGTTCACACTTGCTAAAAGTTATAAGACTTCTTCATTGTTGCTCTTTTTGATATATTATCCTATTTTAACTTATTATTTCGTGCAACATGAAACAATGTTCGAGCAGAAAATTGTTTGAGATAAATGGCTATTGAACGAACATAGATAAGAACATAAGATGAAGTGTAACCAGGATATTATGGGTATAGCCTACTTAGCTTCTGGCTTTCTTTCCGCTTGATGACTATTGGACTCATTTTGACTTTTGGGCTCATGTTATATGTTAAACCGAGCTACATTAGCCACATGTCTCCTTGTGGAATATGTTGTCTGGTTGTTCTTTTGGGATACCATCATTGACTGGGTGCTCGCCAATAAGTTGGAAGAGAAGATAAAAAGCGTTTGAAATAAAGTTAATCATAATGTGGACAATGGCTAGATAAAAGTAACATGCCAATATTGGGAACTAGTTTATTTTTGTTTTTCCTGAATCATGTGTCTAGTGACAATAAGCATACATGATTGATGTCACAGATATACTGGGGACATGGTATTTATGGAATCGAGTCAGCATCGCTTTTCTATTTCGGAAAGCATCCTTCTCTTCTGAGTTTGGGAGAGTCAGCAATGCTTGCTGGGATCATACCTGCACCGGAACTTCGATCACCATTTAGGGACCCTAGCAGGTACGTTTTCTGTTGTTGAATTACTCCTTTTACTTGTTCTTGCTTGCTATTGTGTCTATTCACTAATATTGCTTAGTTCATAGGCTGTGTTAGAATTTAAAGCCTTTTGCAATTCACTCATTGTACTCGTCCAGTACTTCTTTTGTTGGTCAGATACTCTATCCAGTATTTTATAGGATAAATAGGTGCTTATGGAAAAACAGATAAAACTAGAAGATAAGTTCTTACTTTGTTGCAGAGGGAAGACATTCCAAGCTAGAGTTCTGAAAAGGATGGTGAAAGTTGGATATCTTGATATAGAGACAGCACTTTCTGTTGTGAAACAATGTCTTCATCTACGTCATGATAGGCGGGAGCGTGCGGATGGATTGCTCTACCTGTTTCCTTTAACCATGGAGGTTAGTGAAATTTTCATGTGCTATCAGCCTCTTTTGATTACCATGTCCCCGATTGCCCATCATCCTCAAGGACATAAAGAGTAAATTAGTTCACAAACTTCTATATACTAAGAGTAAATCACCTGGAGACCTCCATTTTTTTCAATCTTCATTTTCCACAACTGTTAATTCTGAAATACAAACATATGTGAATTCTAAAAAAGTAAAAATTCAAAGTACGTTTCTACAGCTGACTCATGTTCTGAATGTGTTCTCCTGTATTTTTCATTTGATATATTTTGCTCTGTTGTCTATTCATTTGATTGTCTATATTGAAATGTGTTTTATCCGTCTTATCTGATTGTTGGATTCTGTTTCTTTTTTTTTTCTCTAGAAATTTGAAGGGTCCAATAAACTGAACAATTTCTGCAACTTCTCAACTTTCAAGTGTGTATGGGACTGGAAAAAGGAAAGCAAGACATGGGAAGCATTTGAGGACATGAAAACATGGGCGGCTAAGATACAGCATGAAACCCAACCAAAGTCTTTCAATTTGAAGGTGAAAATGAACATGTTCATGATGCAAATGGAAAGGAACAAAAATGCCCTTATTAAAGATTGCCATAATTCATGAACTGCTTTCAGTATTTTTACAGAGTTCCACCTTAAGGTGGATTATTTTGAAAATTTGTATGGGACTAGACATGATCTTTCTTTCTTCTAAAATTGAAATTAACTCAAATGTAAAAGAATAGCAAATATAACCATTGCACTAAACTCGGTTGTTCTCTTACATTGGATATGATTAATCATTTTAGGTTGTTGCAAGAAAAGAACTTTTACGAGACCAAGAGTGGTCTGTGCCAGGTATGACACCTAACGGTCTGACATGTCATTAAAAGTAATATAAATGCCGTACTAATAGCCAATAAAAATGCGACACGTGTCTTTCCACGTCAAGCTTGACGTGTCCCTGCCAATGAAAATCAAAAGAAGTAACTTGCCGTTAAAGATCACGGTTAAATCAATGAATCGTTCACAAGCCTCGGTGCCCAATATAAAGACCAGAATTCTGCCATTTTTCGGAAGTCTCCAGAATTACTCTCATGGCCTACGTTGAGCGAGGTCAGCTCTCTCTCTCTCTCTCTCTCTCTCTCTCCAATTAACACTTTTCTCGATGATGTGGGGAAAATTCTTGATTAAAAAGTTAGGTTATCATCTTCCATTTCTATTTAATAATGACCGGATTCGGTCTTTTTCTATGTTGGATTGATTTGTATTTCGATTTTTAGGGTTCCTTTTCTAGCAATTAAAAGGAGATTAAGCAGTTCGTATTTCGCTTCTTTGTTTGTGACTGATCATGTCTATCCCGCTAACTTTTGGTTTGCGATTCTCTTCCGTTGTTTTCTTAATATGATCATGAAGTTCTTTTTATTTGGGGGTAGACCTTCGTTAATTGCCGCTTGAATGAATATGTGAGGATGGCAATGCTTACTAGAAATTGCAGCAATTTGAGATCATTCTAATCGAACGCAAAATGATGTTCTTCAGCAGTGACAGCTGCTAAGTTTGGGCGTTTGTAATGTGATTGCTCCTTTAGTCATCTGGTAATGTGCTCCGCGTTGTTTTGGATCAATATTTAATGTTTGCTAGGTTTGGGGAATTTATTTGTTAAGAAAAATTGATTCATTCATTTTGTTAATTTTTTTTCCTTTATCCTTGCAAATGTATCAAGACATATGACTGCAAGTTATTGGAAAGTTAAAAAACGCAATATTGAGCTATAAAAATTTAATAACGCTTCAATTTAAGGTGTAGTTTTTCTTTAATTTATGCCCTGTAACAAATTGATGAGTTTGTGCCTACTTGCGTTGGATGCATTTTCTCTTTTTCAGAAGCTTCTTTACCCTCTTCTTCAGCCTTTTTCCCCTCTCTCTTAACCCAAAAAGATAGTTTTCTCTTTTCCTTTGCAACTGAACCTAACGCAATTAAACCTTGATTTTAGTTTGTTGCAATCAGCTACAAGAATCTTTCCCTGACATGTATCAAGACCATACTCTTGGACGGCTCCTTTTTCCCACTTCACTCTTTTGAAAATTTTGCAACTTGGAAGTTATCACTTGTTAATCATAATTGTGCAAAGCCAAATATGATTTAGAAAATTGTAGGAATTATTATATATTGAGTTTGGATGTTATAAAGTAATGTTAGGAGGGATATTTCTAAGATTTACAGCTATCTAAGGTAAGTTTCAAGAATGATAGAATTGTTTTCTATGTATTCTTCATTCCATTACATCTTTGCGGATATTTTATTAATTTTGTTTTCTGGATATTACTTGATTGAACTATCTGAGATAAGTTTAAGAATGATAGAATTGTTTTCTATGTATTCTTCATTCCATTACATCTTTGCGGATATTTTATTCATTTTGTTTTCTGTATATTACTTGATTGAAATATCTTGTGCATTATGTACCTTTCACTATTGACAGTTAAGCGGTATAACCAGCTGAACCGCTACTTTAGCCTGTCTTTTTTACCAATTGATAGACGTTTTCAGTGTAATCTACATAATTGCTTGTGATTTTTTAATGAATACCTGTGCGGGTGTAAATAAACTACGGACAATATCTCTGCCATATTTCTACTTTTTCCAGTTGTTAACTTGCTTGGTTTGTCCAGGTGTAGTGAAATCCAAGCGATCAATATGGCGTCTAAGGACAATCACGGATTTCTTCTGGGCCATTGTCAATTTTATTGGAGCATTTTTTGCAACAATGTTCTCGGTAAGACAGTAATCTTTTTGGTTAGTTGTTGGTAATGCAAGCAATTTATTCGCAACAAATTGAGACTTGATGTTCCTAACTCTTCCCTTCCTCCATGCTTTAGATGGAGAAGTCAAATACTTACAAGAAAGGCTCTGGTTCAAGCAAGAAATGGGATGGTGGACCTGGAGGTCCTGGTAGTGGTCCATATGGTGGTGGTGGTGGGGGTCCACGTCGTCCACCTCGTGGTCTAGACAATGTTCGGGGAATTGACCATAGTAAGTTCATCTATTTCCCTTTGTTTCTTTTGAACTTTGACCCACCAAAGTGTTTAATCTGTTACAGACAGCAAAAAATTGAACATGTATAATATTTATGTTTTGTGGTTAAATTCCAGATGCCCTACCAGCTTGCGGTTCCTGCTGTGGTGGCTAAGAGTCTGAGGTATCACTATGAAGGTTGCTGTCACATCTTTATATGCTTAGGCTGCAATGTATTCTTTTCTGATTTGGAACTTGTTAATGTGTTGATGTATAGCTTAAAGACCATGTAAAACAAGAGAATGTTTGTGCAGTCTCTTCTCTTGGATGTATTTTCCGACTGGTAGATATTTTACTAAAATAAGATTTTTTTTTTTTTTTTTTGGGAATGTTACTTAAATAAGTATAAGAGGTGGAATAATCTTCGTTAAATAAAAGAATATTTCATGAGTAACTACTGTTTGGGGACCGCAGTTACCGCAACCTACTTCCTACGACTCTGCATGAGCTTCTTTGGTTCTATTAAAAGGTTGAAGAAATCTACCTTGAGGATGTGTCCGTTGTACGACCCTTGAATCCACTGACCGCTAACTAGCCACGGTCAGAATATAATTAATTCATCATCTAATTTTCCTTTTCAGGTGGTTAATTGCATTTATGTAAGAGAGAATAAAATTTTTTGATTCCTATACTCTTAAGATCTACATCCTGAATAGGAAATCGAATAATACAGTTATATGGAAAAAAAAAACACTAATAAAGTCCTAAGCTCGAGGAAATTCAAATCTTGCCATGCCTAAATAAATTGGAAATTTAGTTGATTTTTCTTTCCAAACCTGTATCTTCTTATTTTGCATCACCTGCGCTATAAATGTATTTCGAGAGAAACGAATTAACCTCGTCAGTTGGAAAAAAAAAAATAAAAAGAAAAATATTCCGCTTACAAGTTTTCCACTAATTGGTAGATTATTTATTAATTAGAACGTTGTTGTATCTCTTTCTTAAAATTTTATTGAGCTACTTATATACTGTTGCAGCCTAATTATCGTAGTAGCTGGCAATGTGATTTGCTTTTCTTATGTGTGTTATATTAGCTTATTAATATTAATTAGTAGAAAGAAAATTTATTTTTCGAAATTTTCATCTTGTTTCAGTGAAATTCTTGTTGATCGAAGAGCGTTGGGAGGATGGAACACTGGATAGTGACGGCGCTCGTGGTGTTTGCTGTAGTTGCGTTGGGACTATTTGCCGGTTGTCACCATTTGTGTTTTGGCTCAAGAAGATCGGTGCAGAGGTCTGAACCTGCTTCTGCATCTCATCCTGAACCTGAAGCTGCCGCCGATGATGCAGCTGATGATGCCGCTCGTACTCCCTCTAATTCTGCATAAATTAATAGCAAATTTTATAGCCTAGTCATGCCTTTATTTATTTTTCTCTAGTTACATAATTTTTCATATGATATTTTTATTTAATTGGATTAATACCAATGTATTAACTATCAAATAAATAACCAGTGGTCTTCGCTGCTGGATTTTAATTGATGGTAATTTTATACAATTCTTAAATTTACTTTTAAATAATTATATTTACATTTTATAATTTGCATTTGACATTCACACTTTTAATTTCTTCAATCATCGATTTACTTTAAAATTCCAACTTTAAAGTAATCCTTTTTAACCGAATATAAATAATTGATGTAGCAAAAGAAAATTATTGCAGCTATGTCCTCTAGCACAACTCTCTACAGGAATAAAAAGAACGCTCAGTTTCTACCATAAAATTTAGCTCCTGCAAGTCTTAAACTGAGTATGTAAATATATTTGTATGGTTTAATATTCTAACCACTAATTAAACCACTAACATTTTTTTATCCCTACTCATAAAATGTCAAAACTATCAAAATAAAAACTCGAAACATACATAACTAATTTAAGTTAACATTTTCTCCCAAAAAAAAAAATAAAAAAAGACACTTTTATATTTGGAGTTATACACTTATTTTCTAAATTAATAAAACATATTAAATAAGATTAAAAAGACCTGAGTAGTCTTAATTTTTTTTGTGTTCAAACAATACATTAAAATACCACATCCTTTTCCTCATTATATTACAAAGTTAAGTTATTTAATAATAAATAAACAAATAAATTTCAATATACATAATATATATAAATCAACATATGTTATATTAATAAAACAAATATTAATTTACTTTGCATCAAAGATTAATATATTAATATTTAAAATTTTAATTAATTAATTTTTGTAAAAAATATATCGTCTAACTTTTAGTAGAAGATGTTCTTGAAAGAAAAAATTGCTAAAAGCAAATGACAATAAAAAACAATATAATTAATTAAAATAATTAAATAAATTTTAAATATGTTTAGTTAATTATATGATAATTTTTTTATCAAATATTTTTTATTATTTAATATTGATAGATAAATATACTTAATTTTTAAAATTTAAATCGATTTTTAAAATATGAAATGACATATAATAAAAAAATATTTTAGGCATTTTCTAAAAATATGCTGATTTTGATTATATTACCAAAATGAGAAGTTTGTATATACATTTTCATAATACAAAATAAATTTAATATAGATTAAATTATGAGGTCAGTTTTGTAATTTACTGACAAATTTGCAAATACCAACTTTCTGATACATCTTATTTTATTCTTATTTTTAGTATTATATCTATTTTCGAGTGAAAAATAAAAAATAAAAAAAGAAAAGAAAAACTCTAGCAGAAAAGAAATATCATTCGCTCTTACTACACTATTTGGACAAGTGTGTTTCCCATAGGTGGAGCTGTCAGAAGGGGAAGAGCCAAAACTTCCGCCTCTTCAGTCAATCCGAACGAATCAGTGGATTAGTCAGGAAGATGCTGATGGCTTTGGGCCACGCTCTAATTGTTGACTGCTCGGGCGAGCATTTGAAAGGAGCAGCAGTGGCTTCCGTCGTGGACCAAAGCTGCTTCGCATGATTGCCGACTACGTGTTCGACATAATGCCGGTGAGTCAAATGGCATCTTTCAGCTTCTCCTGCCATGCGCGCTTTAGTAGAGTATCAAATGTCGATATCATCCTCTAATTTCCAGTTTCTCCACGTCAAGATGTCGGCAGTTGACACCCACGGAAAATGTTGAAGTGAAAATCAATCTATGGAGAATCAGTTGAAGTCAGAAGTATCCAAGTGCATGATTGAAGGGATCTTAGCCCCCCTCCAAAAAAAAAAAGAAAGAAAGAAAGAAGTAGTAAAATTAAAGCAAATACGAAATATGTATGTTTATTCATGTATATATAGTTATATAGCCTTAGATTTTAATGCTCATAGTTTAGAGGCTTGCATGTCCAGAATTTTCAAGAAATTTGCCTTGAATTGGTAGACTACCAGCTCATACGGTTACTCATGTGTTCGACCAACTGCCCCACTGAAAACTATGGAGATGACCGCAGTATCTACATGGAATTAGCAAGAAACATCAAGCCCACAAAAGAATAGTAATGAAAGGTCATTGAATATCGGAAACTATGCACGAGTTTTTGTTTCGTCGTGTAGTACTCAAGCTGGGTTATTTGTATAGTTCATTTGTGGAGTTTTCATTTTTATTTTCGTCCTCTTATTTGGATTTTCTTTTCCAACTTTGTATTGTTCATTTCTGTAGCCTTTCGTCTTCTTTTTCTTTTTTCTTTCTCGCCAACTTTGTGTTCTTCTTTCTCGCAGAGGATCCGCTCTGAGTTAATATAACCCACGAATTGCGCATTGAGTGAGTCCCACGTACAAGTAACAGTGACGCACTACGCAAGGAGGGATGCTGCACGCAACCTGTTTCGCTCCCTCACTCAGTAGAGCGACTTCTCCATTCTTATCGTTAATGTTCAAGTTTCCATTGCAGTTATTTCCCCGCAATAGCCGTCGCCTGTTTCTCCGCCATAGTTATCGATCTTCGGTTGCTTCTTCAGCCACGTGGGTCCATCGCTTTCCCATGGACGGACGTGCCCATCTGTGTACCGCAGCTATAGCTGCTAAGAAATTTGCCGTACCCGCGTCCGATCAAATTTCCAACAAGGCAAAGAAGAAAGCAAGGCGAGAATCTCCTGAGGGAGTGCTGAGGTACAAACTGGATATGTGCTCGAAGCACGGAGACCTCGTTGAGGCCCTTCACCTATACGATGAGGCACGGAGGGAGGGAGTACAACTTAGCCAGTACCATTACAATGTAATACTCTACTTGTGCTCTTCGGGTGGTTCTTCCGTTGAAGTAAGTGGAGATTGGGATGGTGAAAAGGACTCGGTTTTGGGGCTTAAGAGGGGCTTTGACATTTTCGGACAGATGGTTGCGGATAAAGTTGCTCCTAATGAGGCTACATTTACGAGTATAGCGAGGCTGGCTGTTGCAATGGACGATCCAGATAAAGCATTTGATTTAGTGAAGCAGATGACAAGTTTCGGTATCCCACCAAAACTGAGGTCATATGGACCAGCCCTCTTTGGTTTCTGTAAGAAGGGGAAGGTTGATAATGCTTATGAAGTTGATGCTCACATGGTTGAAGCTGGAGTAATGGCAGAAGAACCAGAACTTTCTGCTCTTCTGAAAGTTAGTGCTGACGGAAAGAAGGCAGACAAAGTGTATGAGATGTTGCAACGGCTGCGAGCCACTGTAAGGCAGGTCTCTGAATCAACTGCTGAGATTGTTGAAGATTGGTTTAAATCTGATGATGCTGCAACAGTTGGTGTGGATAATTGGGATGAAAACTTGGTAAAGGAGGGAATTGTAAAGGGAGGAGGAGGGTGGCACGGGCAGGGGTGGCTAGGGACTGGCAAATGGAACGTTGTCAGAACTCAGATGAATGAGAAGGGTGTATGCCGTTCTTGTGGTGAAAAGCTTGGTTGTATTGATATCAACCCAACAGAGACCGAAAATTTTGCTACCTCATTAACAAATTTGGCTTGCCAAAGAGAGGTCAGGGCTGACTTTACTTGCTTCCAGGTACAAGATCATTTTCCATTTGTTTTCCGTTTCTGAACCAATAAATGCAGTTTCTTTTTCTTTTCTGTGTTGCACTTGAATTTATAAATGCACGTTTCTTTCACTCTTTTATTTTTTCAATGACATGCAATTATGTATTTTATGGTGTTAACAAATAGTTTCCTATACAGGAAAAATATCAGTAAGTCCCTTTTTTTTCATTAAAATAGTATGGAAAAGCATCTAAAACTATCCCAAAGTCCAGGTAAGAAATATTGCCTGGTGGAGGAATGCCTTGAGTTATGGATTTCATAAATGACATTTGTTTTCTGTAGTTGGAAACATAATGATGCTAGAAGTTAACTCAACATTGATTTTTGACTCCTACAATAATTATGATTTATCAAAACATTCTTCCCTAGCTGGTTACAAATGGAATAACATGTTGATTATTTCATTTTCTATCAAAGAGGTTTTACTTCCTAATTAACTTTGTAAGTCCTTATTGAGATATGCTTGATGTGGATCTGTAGACAAGAAGATCTGGTGGTGTTTTTGTTGATACCCATGGATGCAGGGTATTTTTACACTGTTACTTCTTTGAATGATACTAGACTTACAATGATTCTGTTCATATTCACATTCCATCCTTTGTCATCATTACTTATTACTTTTTTTTATAAAGAAATCATTAGTTACTTATATTATAAAAAAGTAATCCAGTTTTTGCTACTTTCAATTGCTATTGCTATGTTAAAATTATTGTCAGTGATGACTTGCTGATTTGAAGGTGAACTCGTGCAGGAGTGGCTGGAAACACATGGTCCATTTGATGCTGTTATAGATGGTGCTAATGTTGGCCTTATTAATCAACATACTCTCAGCTTTAACCAGGTAAGCAAGACTCCGCGAGTACACTTTAGGAGACTCCACATTCTGTTCCTTGTGACACTAATTGGATATCATTTGATTGTAGCTTAATAACGTGGTCAATCAATTACGTGAAATGAGCCCATCAAAGAGATTGCCACTTGTTATTTTGCATAAAAGTCGTGCAACTGGAGGTCCTGCTCAGAAGCCTAAAAACAAGTACTTGTTAGAAAGCTGGAAAAAGTCTGGTGCACTATATGCTACTCCTCCTGGTTCAAATGATGATTGGTTGGTCTCTATATCATGAACTATTGATGAATTGGGTTAAATTTATGAACTAAGCCATATTCATATTGCTATCTTTTTCTTTCTTTAATGTGCTCTCGACTTCTGATACTCTGTCTTGGCGTGTGCTTTGAAATGAACCAGAGGGTGCTAAGCCTACAGTGGATATTTGCTTCCTCACAAATATATGTTCCTAGGAATATTGTTAGTCTGATCTTTTCAGCACGTCTATGATTTCCTCTTGCTTTCCATGTTAAGCTATGCATACTGATCTTATCTCTGTGAAATTATTTCATTTGGGGGTTGAGAAGGATGTTCAGCCCCCTCAGAAATGTGGAACTCTAATCATATCGAAAGTCCTTTGCTCCAAATCCTAATGTTAGACTGGCCGATTATGGAACCTTATTTGTTGCCCAAATGGTATAATAACCTGGGATCACATTTTCTATCATGTATATGATCTTTTGACCATGACATTGACAGACATCATCAGATAGCCACACTTTTGGAGTTCTCAGTGAGATTAATCAACCATGAAAATCTGAATGTAGATATATGTGATAATCCATGACTGGGTTACAGGTTAAGATTGTACTATATATTTGTTGTTAGTCTTTTTGTATTCATTGCGGCTGTTTTAGCAGTTGTAGCAATTGACTGAAATTTGTTAACAGTCAATTTAGAGTTAATCTTCATTTAGAGTTTCTACTGCAACTGTACGATTATGATCTTCTCAATCCATCATTTGCAAAGTTTGCTTGGAACTTTCCTTTACAGGTATTGGCTATACGCCTCTGTTAGTTGCAAGTGTTTATTGGTTACAAATGATGAAATGAGGGACCACTTGTTCCAGTTGCTAGGGACTAGTTTTTTCCCAAGATGGAAGGAAAAACATCAGGTACTTTTCCTCTTCCTTCTCCTCTTTTCAACCCAAGATGAACTTGGCCTGAATTACTGGTCTAGAAAACATTGAACCGTTACAATCCATGACGAACCATAATGATAACAATTTAAGGAGGTCCGGATGCCCGAGAAAATTTGCTGCTGTAGGAGCATATATTTTATCCATGTGAAAATGATTCCCTGTTGCCCCATCTTAATAGGAGCTGTCAGTAGTTGAACCTTCAAGAAGAATAACATCTTTACAAACATGGGAATCCATGATTATGGACGTTATGTTACTAAAGCATGTATGCAATTTGAAGAAAAAGGAATTCTAAACTATGCTTGGCTCTCTAATTTGCAGATTCGACTGTCGGTCTCAAGGAATGGACTTAAACTCCACATGCCTCCCCCTTATTCAATTGTTATTCAGGTGAGGATTGCTCTAGTTAATTACTACTGGTATACATTATTCCTTTTTTCATATGGAACTCCTTTCATAGTTACTTTAATAATGCTGTGAGGTACTGCAGGAATCAGAAAATGGTAGTTGGCATGTGCCAACCACCACCAGGTGATGATCTTCAGACATCCAGGCAATGGTTATGTGCCACCAGAACCAGGTTGAGATAATTGGTTTTTGGCTAATCTGGCAGAGGAATGGGAAGAGAGAGCCTGGCCATGAGAGGCAGGAGTAAAGAAAGGTGATATCTTTATACTATTTGCTGTGTATGCTTTATACTCATTGGCAATTTAAGGTCCTGAAATAACTTTTGGTGTAACTTCTGTGTTACTTGCATTTGTTTAATTTATAAAAGGGTCAATTAATTTAATTATACTTTGTATTATGTTTAGAACAAATTTAAAAATCTCGTGAAATTTGTGTGTATCTCATCTAGAATATAATGTAAAATTGGAGAATGTAATTTAAATTCTTTTAGAAATGACAATTTCTGTATTATGTCTTCTTAATGACACTGCTGATCATGTTTAATCAAGACTATCTTCATTCCATCATCTCTTAGTTTCTCATCTAAAACTATTTTGCACAAAAAAAAAAAAAAAAAAACAAGAATTGAAGAAAGGGGTTGGAAATAAATGAATTATTTTTTCTAGAATTTATTTAAAAAGTATCATGTCAAGTCTTTTAAAGTTTACTTATAATTAAATTTTCATTATTTTACAATTAAATTATAAATAATTTTTATATATTTAAATAATTTATTTGTACTCTCATACCTTTAGTCCTTTTAATGCTACGATGCGAGTCGTTTTAATATTACAATGCGTGTTTGAGAAATTTTTATTAGACGTTAATAAAATAATAATAATAATAAATCTCACAACAAAATTATAAGATTCAACGAAAAAATTGAATTTTTAGATAAAAAATATTCTCAATAAATTTATTTTATAGAAAATATTTTAAAACACATAAGTCAATTAAAATAGAAAAAAAAAAGTGATGTTCATTGTTAAAACACTTCAAGTTTAATCCCTTGCGTGTTTGCATTATGTGAAAATATTATAGGAGGAAACGGACCTAGAAAAGCCCGCAAGTCGCAGCCCATATTTCTCCAGCCCAAACTAGAGATTTCTAGGGTTTCACTGTGTGTGCCAGTGCTATAAATATATTTCTGTTTATCCCAAAACGCATTTAGGGTTTACGGAGAGGCGAAGTCGGGAGAGAGGAGAGAGGGAGAAAATGGTGAAGTTCCTGAAGCCAAATAAGGCCGTCATCGTCCTCCAGGGCCGCTATGCCGGCCGAAAGGCGGTTATTGTCAAGTCATTCGATGAGGGAAACAGAGACCGTCCCTATGGCCATTGCTTAGTTGCAGGGATCAAGAAGTACCCGAGCAAGGTCATCACGAAAGGACTCGACCAAAAAGACTGCCAAAAAATCCAGAGTGAAAGGCCTTCATCAAGCTCGTTAACTATCAGCACTTGATGCCGACCCGTTATACCTTCGACGTGGACTTGAAGGATGTGGTCGCCGTCGATGCTCTTCAATCTA